AGCAGCTATGAAGAAAGCTATGAAGATAAAGAAGGACTAAAGGGCTGAACCTAAGCAATTAAAACCGCAATGAAAAAGACCTGATGATTTGCCGCCAAAGACAGGGAACAGGATACTGGGCAACACAAGTTAAATCAACTTCATTTTGTGTATCAGCAGAGAACAAATATTTTTTCAATGCAGTAAAGCAGTGTTGCACAAAGCAGTTATCTTTTATAGTTGCACAGTAAGAATCTGAGCGTTGTTTTCTTTCAAGTACAAGATTCTGAACTGAAAAAACTGCTACAGCACCGGACGTTCTGTAGGCCAAAAATCAGAAATAGAAAAGAAGAAAGAAAAAAGTGGTACTCAAATTCAGCAACAGAAAATGAATAGTTCCACATTTACCTCTGACATAGACAGTGGCTGCAACGTACCAAGATGTGCATACAATGAACAGATATAACTCCTATGAACAGAAGGCTGATTGGTCCAATCTGGTACAGGGGAAAAAAAGGGGAGGACATGGGAGATAAAATAGAATTTTTCATGAAAATATGTCATGGGAAAATCTTTACATGCAAAAATTTCACACTGTAGCAAATAAATTAAGAAATAAAAATTTTATGCAACTAGATTTTTTTCCCCTCTCAGAGGAGGATTTGCTGCTGATGTTTTATGGCATTCCTTACCTTTAGTTCACTACTTGACAAAAGGCTACTCAGGGGCAATCAGTATATAAATACCAAATGGGCATGAACAACTTGATTCCTCTAACAGCTTCATTAAGATATTTGCCAGATAAAATTTGTCAAGAAAGAAGACTGCACATACTGCACAATTCAAAACAGTCATTTGAACTGCTTTAAAGTGGCAATGACAACAAATGTTTCATTCCCTTACATTAGTAGGTCTGATGATGTGCAGTATTGAAAGAAACCCAAACAAATCACAGCCACAATCCTGATAACTTCTGCTGTTACAAGTTACAGTTTTCAAATTAAATAATCTGTTTCAGAGTAGAAGTTTTCACAGGAGGCACTTGCTTTTCACATGTAACTTTACTCTTAAACTGAACATCCTGTAATACGGAATTACAGGATTATTTAGTCATAGGTGAAAATTTCACGTGATTAAATTTACCCTGCTTTAGGTAATGCATTGTTTGTTACCTTGTATAAACAAGCTGTGCTACACTCTCTTTCTGCAGAAACACAACACTGGTTTAACAAGCTGACGCTGTATCCTAGGACGCATGATCTGGATCTAGAGAAGTTTGGACTATATTTCTTATATTTATAAGACAACCCCATAACAACAGTTCCCATGAGACATCATAGGAGTCTGAGTGAATCAAAATCTTTCTTTTTTCTGACAAAGTTTTTGTTTTCTTCAGCAAAAAACTTTGGCTCAGCAGAAGTACAACACATGCTATGAAGTCTTCAGGGTGAAGTAAACGTCAAAAAAACAAATAAACAAACAAAAAAATCTCAATCTTCAGTATTAACTTCATCAGACTAAAAAGGAAAAATAGAACACAGCTCTGTTGAAGTTGGTAGTGACAAACAAAAAGTACCAAGATTTTATTTTTTCAGGCTCAGACACATATCTTTAGATCTTTCTAGGTAATTTTTCTAATCTATGAAAAAATAATTTAATTCTTACCACAATGCCAGCATTTTTTATTGCCAGTGGAAGACCAAGAAGCCCAGTTCCAATGTTTCCCTTGAGGAGGTGTATAAGTGTTTGTATAAACCTGAAGATAAAAATAGAAAAGTACACTCAGATGGGGAGGAGGGGAAGAGAAGGAAACAAAACAAAACAAAACAAAAAAACCCACTCTTTGTTATTTATTAATAACTGAATAAATTGTGAGCTTCAACTACTTTAAAGTGGTCCAGCACATTCAAATAATGTTCTTACTCATCTTTACATGTGAGCTCCCCTCAAACAGAACATACCAGTCTGATCTTCAGTTCCTTACTCTAGCTTCTGAAAGGTTGTTTTCCATGCAACTTCACTGTCCTTTTGCCTCAGAGTCAAAATTACCAAGTTTCATTAATGCTATTTTAGAATCAATTAGATTGCAATAAAACTCTTAAGAGTTCAGTAAACTACTCAGCAGAAACAATTTGGAGGCAACAGGTCTTAACAAGCTGATACTTAAAGAGTAATACGTACGTAATGCCTTCTTTATTATCAAGCTGGTAATGCGTCTCAACTGCCAGCAACTTATTTTCATGCTCTTCATCTGAGATTCCATCTGAATTTTGTTCATCAATTAAAGGCTTCATTACTTCCATGTCTATACAATAGAGTTAACACAATATAAGCATTAGAAACAAACTCATACTTTAGAAGTAAAACATGACTCAAACAATTTGCCATGCCATAAGGCTTATGGGTGTTACTAACTGATTAAAGCTGATTTGGGGAGTACACCACAAGTTTGCACAGGCAATTGTGTCTTTAGAGGAGCGCACAGCCTCATTGTTATCGTCACCAGCATTACTATTATCATGGTCAAACGCTACAGTTTTTCATTAAGGAAAACAACTTTGTATCATCAAAATGTTGATGATTTAGATCATTTTGCAAGTTAATACAACACACAGCAAAACAGAAAAGTCATCCGTTGTTACAAAAGGATGAGATTCATCTTACACGCCATTAGCTATTGCAAACTAAGCACTTCATTTATCCTCCATCTCTTACCAGTGGTGAGCGAGGGCACCCGCTAAAATGGAGAGGTAAGACCCCTGAAGCCACCTCCAGTCACCAATGAGAGAACCGAGATAACGGAATTTGGCTGCATGCTTCGAAAGCTGCATTTTCATGAACCTTTCAAAGTAACGTAAACTGCCACTGCAGTCAGCAAATGCAATCCCACCATCCAGCTAAATAACAGCACCAAGCAACCACAAGCAGCCAGCGATAAATAAAATTGCCTTTCAGGCAAAACTAACAGCTTATGCCAGTTTAATGTTGATTAAATTATAACCGTTTGTAAATTATTACAGTTGAGCAAAATAAATCCTGCCAAGAGCAAAAAGATTATTTACTTTACACTTGCCTACCGCAGTATCCATTCATAAAATATGTTGAATAAGTCTCAACTTTCCTCACTTTCACCAAAACAGAAATCCCTGCGATTTTAACATTTTCTATTTTAAAAAAATAACTATTTCTAAGCGTGCAAGAGCATACTTTCCTGAATTATCACATTACTTACAGAACTCTGATAATACCACAAAATACATTAGCTATATTAAAACCTACTTCACTCTACAGCAAGCAAAAGTATTTCAGAGTTTGAGTGAACACTAAAGACCTAAACCATACTAAGCTTATTTATTTAGTAAGAAAAATATAGATGCTAACTGAATAGCTGTAAAATCTGTAACACCAGTGACGTTTTAGAAGCATTTATAGAAGGTAAGGACAATTGACACCTTTAAAGTACATAGTACTATTTGAACCAGCCAAATAGGACTTTTATTTTGGGAAGTTATTATGGTCAATCAGATAAAAATTACTATTTAATGTAAAAAACAACACACATGCACAGAAATCAGAGAGGAAATAAAGAACGTACTCAAAATTAGCCATTTAACAGGGTTTGCATGGCAAGGTTTTGGTAGCAGGGGACTACAGGGCTGGCTTCTGTGAGGAGACACCAGAAGCTGTCCCCATGTGTGATAGAGCCAATGCCAGCCAGCTCCAAGATGGACTCAACACTGGTCAAGGCTGAGCCCATCACCAACAGTGGCAGAGCCTCTGGGATAACATAGCTAAGAAAGGGGAAAAAATGCTGCACAACAGCAGTCACAAGAGAGGAGTGAGAATATGTGAGAGAAACAACCCTGCAGACACCAAGGTCAGTGAAGCAGGAGAGGCAGGAGGTGCTCCAGGTGCTGGAGCAGAGATACCCCTGCAACTCATGGTGAAGACCATGGTGAGGCAGGCTGTCCCCCTGCAGCCCATGGAGGTCCATGGTGGAGCAGATATCCACCTGAAGCCCACGGAAAATCTCATGCCAAAGCAGGTGGATGCCCAAAGGAGGCTGTGACCCCATGGGAAGCCTGCACTGAAGCAGGCTTCTGGGCAGGACCTGTGGACCCGTGGAGAGAGGAGCCCACACTGGATCAGGTTTTCTGGCAGGATTTGTGACCCCATGGAGGACCCATGCTGGAGCAGTCTGTTCCTGAAGGACTGCACTCCATGGGAAGGACCCATACTGGAGCAGCTTGTGAAGAACAACAGCCTGTGGGAAGGACTCGCACTGGAGAAGTTTGTGGAGGACTGCTTCCCTTGGGAGGGAGCCCATGCTGGAGCAGGCGAAGAGAATAAGGTGGAAGCAGAGACAACGTGTGATGAACTGACCACAAACCCATTCCCCATCCTCCTGGCCCACTCAGGGGGTGAAGATGGAAAAAAATGGGAGCAAAGTAGAGCCTGGGAAAAATGGAGGGGTGAGGGGAAAGGTGTTTTAAGATTTGGTTTTATTTCTCATTACCCTACTCTGATTTGCTTGGCAATAAATTAATTTCCCTAAGTCGAGTCTGTTTTGCCCATAACAGTAAATGGTGAGAGATTTCTCCCTGTCCTTTTCTCAACTCACGAGCCTTCCATTATATTTTTTATCCCCTGTCCAGTTGAGGAGGGAAATGATAGAGCGGCTTTCATGGGCACCTGGCATCCAGCCAGGGTAAACTCACCACCACCATTCAACAAATCATTAAGGTTTTTATGAAACCTTAAAGATGTCTAACACAGCGGGACACTGAAAGCAATCCTAAGCAAGCAAAACTTAAAGAAAAAATGTAGAACGAACGTAATATATTCTATAAAGCACAAGGCAGCTTATCCAGGTTTATTTTTATTAAAAGCTCATAGCTCCAACTCTCCTGAAAACAGCAAAGGGTCATCTGAATTTGGTTGTCAATAGATTTGAAAGCCAGTAATGAAAGCACTTGACAGAAGCAAAGATGCCTAGTGGAGAGCAAAATCAGAGGTCAGAGACTCAACCAGGAAGTACACTGTAAAGCAAATTTATACTCAGTAATATGCTAAATATACAAGTCAAGACAGACTTAATCATCTTTCTCTACATGGCAGATAGTCTATGGATTGATCAAAGGAAGGGTCAGCAAAGAATTTCCTTCACTCTGCTCCCACAGCATTGTGCTGACCAGCTCTTCCAGATCCCACGATTGTCCCGTCTCAGCTTCGAGTCACTGCTGGGCTCATTTGACACTCAACACTCACCAAGACCTGCGTGCTCCAGTTCTGGAGTAAAAGTCTGTTCCCTCAGGGGTGAGAGGAAGCAAAGTCCCAATGCTTGAAGTTTCACCCAGTGGGCAAGTGATTAGGCTTACTGTAATTTTCTAAAATGTTGAGTCTAAACTAATAATCTGAAGTGTTTTCACTACGAATACTTCCTCCATTCCAATCAGATACTAAAATGTTTGATACATCCACACTTTTCACCACACAGACGCACAGTGAAGGAGACACCACTACAGTCTAACACAGAAAACACCAATGGTCTGGCAACAATCACCGCTGTGGCAACAGGAGAGGCTTGGTGTTCCCAGCAATTGCATTCAGTTTACAGATAGTCAATTTATCATCTTAATGTTGCGGAGAAACTTTCTGTCATGGTTTACTGGGACCAAATTTTAGAGTTCATTTTCTGTTGAGGAAAGCTGTGATTCTGTAAGGACTACAGCACTCTATTTTATGGGAATAGAGCAATAAGACTTTGTTATACTTTTCAGCTAAAGCTGGTATGCGGTGCTCAAGGTCCTCAGCAGTCTTGAGATCAAAAGGTGGCAGAGGCTGGGGAAGTAGAAACCCACAGGAGTTGACCCCAAGTTGAGGACTTAGTATTATCCCACACCATAAATGTCACATTCACTATAAATTGAGGAGTTCGCTGGGGACAGCCATTCTTCTTCCATCTTCCTTTCATGACTGACATCTTGAGAGGGACTTCTCTACCGTCCTATCCCAAGGCCTAATCCCTCACAATCATGGCCAAGTATAACTCTGTGTACTTTATATTTATACTGTTAATAACAGTAATAACAACAAATAATTACTAATATTAATATTTTATTAAGTCTATTTCCTTTTCAACCCACAGATCTTCTTTCCTTTTCCTGACTCCCCTCCCCAGGTGGGGAAGAGTCATCAGGTGATAGAGGAACTGTATAAACCACACCACTTGTCAGTTCAGTGTTCTGAACCATGGCTCTCAAGAAAAATTTAGTTACAAAGAAAACACCATCACTGATTATTTTCAGAATCTGCAACCGGTTCAGTAAACAGCTCACCATATAATGCTCAGTTACTCCCTCAGCCACAGAAAGAACTGTTTCTCCACTCCCCAGACTTCAGCCTATGAATAACCTTCCCAGAATCTCTCCAGAAGGCATCAAACTGTAAAGCCTTGTCCACGAAGGACTCGTGAATCTGGCAAGATCTGCCACACTACTCAGTCACGCGCTTCCACAACCACCAAAGAAATTACGGATCAGCACAGAGTGACCATGAATGGCAGTGCTAGGGGCATCCTGGTCCAAACTGATAAACACCTGTAAGTGTTTCTAGTTCAAGGGCAAGCTAAGAGATAAACACATTCAACCACACACAAGCCAAATCCCTTTTTATTTTCTATGACTGCAACTCCTACTGAATACAAGAGACATAAGAACAAACAAACAAAAAAAACCCCAACGAAACAAAAAAACTCCTCAAACTAAAATGTATTTTCCAGAATGAAAATTAAAAAGGAAAACTCATCTGGTTTAAAAATTCATATTAAATACTAAAAATTACATTTTCCAGAATAGTAAAAGTTTGCATCGGCTTTTGGTGTGTTTGTTTTTCAAGAACTTTAAAGCTGTCCTTGGTGCAGTTATTTGAATCACTCTCTACTTTCCTTTGTGTAGTGTCATTTACTTCTCTCTATTACAGACTGTAACTTAATAAAGTAGATTTATTCTGCTTTATGGTAGAATTTATTAATCTTGGGAACTGCTATTTCTAAACAAGTGCTGAAAGTCAATAATGCTACTCAGTAAGCGGGAAGAACTGTTTGCTTTTGCATCATAACTGTCAAATCCAGAAGGTTAATAAAATGAGACACTGGAGTTATTAAACCAAAGCATACACAGGTCTTCATAGTTTATTACACACTTTCAGAGAAGCACTTTTACCCTCAACCACAATGGATCATTTGTTTGGAAAGATGTCAGGCTTAAATAATCCATTTAAATAATCCTGGTTAGACCAAGCT